AGGGGAATAGTGCAGGGGGGCAGAGTTCAGGTAACTCACCTGTTGTCCCCTTACTGGGCAGTTAATGGGGGTGATCCTTCACCCTGATCCACAGCTACAGCAGCTCCAACCAGCAGACAAAGCTTAACATGGCCGGACCTAGGACCCTGGGGGTGGTGGGGAGGAGCACACGCCGGAAGTCCCTGTGCACCTCTTTATAAACACCCTCCCACGATAACTTAATGGGGCTGCAGTTTAGAAAAGCCAAGAAGGGCGATAATAAGTAGGTGGAAAAAGAATTTATCTGCCGCTGACTCTAAAGCCCAGAACCAGCACTGGAACCTTACTCGACTAATAATCCCTGAATGGAACGGAACTATCCAATATGGCGTTGTTTCCGGCGGACAGTATAGAGAGGCTCTCAGAGCGAGGCGAGGATAACACACCCACGTCGCGTATTGGTCACTGCGCCGTCACGTGCGCTCATTCCTCTCCCGTGCCATCCAGCGGCGGCCATGTTGAGATTGGCAGTCCGCCCTGCTTGAGCAATTGCGGCAGCGGCGGCCATCTTTTGTGCTGGCGCCCGTCATGTTACTCTATGGCAGCGGAGGAGTGGCCAGGCCGGGCAGTGGGAAGATGTTCCTGGGTGCACATTTCCTGTTTCCTAGCAACAAAAGGAAGTGTTTGTTGTAGTGAGAGATGAGAGAGAAGGGCTCTGATTGATTCCTCAGGCCTCGCCCGCAGGCTGGGGCACTTCAGCAGGGGCCAAAGAGCAGCTGGAGGGAGAGTGGGGCCCCTAGGAGAGACTACAGCAGCTGTAGAGGGCCCCTGGCTGACTGGGGGCCCTCTGCCCACACACACACTGTCATTCATTTACACCAGTCATCACAGCAAATAATATCAGTATGGCCTTCCCCCCATGTTCTCCTGTTAGCTGAGTACGACTGGACCGCAAAGCTAGCACTCACTTGTCGGACATGACCTGCACCTTCCGCTCAGCTCCATCCATCCACCTGCCCTTCCACCGGATGCTGGGCCGCCATTATGAAATGGTGAGTATCGCCATCGCATGCGTTTATTGTATTTGTAACTATAGATCGTCATTGGTTACCAAAAATGATCTGACTGGGCCAAAAAAATCAAGAAAAGTACAATTTGTAAAATGTTAAAACAAAAAGTGTGCGTAAAAATGTCAAAAATGTTATTCCGTGCCCAATTTATAGAGAAATAATTTTTTTTGTACGGAGCCCCCATTCAAATTTTAGGCGGATCCCCAAAAATCTGTATTTCCCCCTTCTAATACTTTATTATTATTCTTACGCATTGGTACAAACGGACGTCCCAAAAATAACTGACAGGTGAAGTAAAATTGGATGTGTATACATTTTAAAATAAAAGATTTGCGGAAAATATCACAAATTAGAAAATTGAGACCAATTTTTAAGAATTTTTAAAAATTTTTATAAATTACCGTTGCCAGGTTGCCTCCTGCACACTCCCTGAATCCATGCACATGCCGTACCAATGCACAGGGGTCCTTTGGTCAGCCCGTGTAATCACAGGCAGCCTCGGCTCCCGGCCTGCCCCTACTTGTAGATTGACATTGACTCCTGTGGCTACCGAGAGTCCTTTTCAGTCTTCACTCCCTGCCTAGAAGAGAGGGGGAGATAGCGGTCATGTGACCACTGATATAAACTGAGACAAAAAAATGTGTCTGCAGTTTTTTTTCTGATTTACTGATGTAAGCAGCCACGATTAAGGAAGGTGGAGGGATTGTGATTGTACTTTTTGCTGTGGAGGCTTTACAGATACTTTAAGACTTTTAGGCCCCTTTCACATGGGCTGATCAGGAGAGGATGCGTGCCCGGATCCCCTCCTGATCAGATCTGTGCCCGGATCCCCTCCTGATCAGATCTGTGCCCGGATCCCCTCCTGATCAGATCTGTGCCCGGATCCCCTAGATCTGTGCACGGATCCCCCCCTGATCAGATCTGTGCACGGATCCCCCCCTGATCAGATCTGTGCACGGATCCCCCCCTGATCAGATCTGTGCACGGATCCCCCCCTGATCAGATCTGTGCACGGATCCCCCCCTGATCAGATCTGTGCACGGATCCCCCCCTGATCAGATCTGTGCACGGATCCCCCCCTGATCAGATCTGTGCACGGATCCCCCCCTGATCAGATCTGTGCACGGATCCCCCCCTGATCAGATCTGTGCACGGATCCCCCCCTGATCAGATCTGTGCACGGATCCCCCCCTGATCAGATCTGTGCACGGATCCCCCCCTGATCAGATCTGTGCACGGATGAATTGTCTTTGGGGAAATTGAATGTAAACGGACAATGGTTCTGTTTACATCAGATTATCCCCGATTCGGCACAATCAGGTCCGTTGACACGAAACACTCTACCGTCCGTTTTTCTGAGCCTGGCCGAAGTCGGAGGTAACCGGACGCCCGTTCGTTTACACATGGCTGTCCATAGACTAGCATTGGTCATCCGATCGGATCCGCCTGAAAAAACTGACAGGTGGACCCAATCGTACGACCCGTATAAAAGGGGCCTCACGGAAACTCCTCCCCCTCAGTCTGAGGTTTCAATAAAAAAACACAGTGCTTGATAACTTGCTGTACACTCTTTAGATAACCCTGGGTGCTCTTGGGAATCCTTTGTATATTGAATGTTTATGTGGCAAGCTCTCGCGATCTCGCTCGATCTCTCTCGATCTCTTTTCTCTCTCGATCTTTCTCTCTCTCTCGATCTTTCTCTCTCTCTCTCGATCTCTTCTCTCGATCTCTTCTCTGCAAGCTCTCGCGATCTCTCTCGATCTCTTTTCTCGATCTCTTCTCTCGATCTCTTCTCTGCAAGCTCTCGCGATCTCTCTCGATCTCTTTTCTCGATCTCTTCTCTCGATCTCTTCTCTGCAAGCTCTCGCGATCTCTCTCGATCTCTTTTCTCGATCTCTTCTCTCGATCTCTTCTCTGCAAGCTCTCGCGATCTCTCTCGATCTCTTTTCTCGATCTCTTCTCTCGATCTCTTCTCTGCAAGCTCTCGCGATCTCTCTCGATCTCTTTTCTCGATCTCTTCTCTCGATCTCTTCTCTGCAAGCTCTCGCGATCTCTCTCGATCTCTTTTCTCGATCTCTTCTCTCGATCTCTTCTCTGCAAGCTCTCGCGATCTCTCTCGATCTCTTTTCTCGATCTCTTCTCTCGATCTCTTCTCTGCAAGCTCTCGCGATCTCTCTCGATCTCTTTTCTCGATCTCTTCTCTCGATCTCTTCTCTGCAAGCTCTCGCGATCTCTCTCGATCTCTTTTCTCGATCTCTTCTCTCGATCTCTTCTCTGCAAGCTCTCGCGATCTCTCTCGATCTCTTTTCTCGATCTCTTCTCTCGATCTCTTCTCTGCAAGCTCTCGCGATCTCTCTCGATCTCTTTTCTCGATCTCTTCTCTCGATCTCTTCTCTGCAAGCTCTCGCGATCTCTCTCGATCTCTTTTCTCGATCTCTTCTCTCGATCTCTTCTCTGCAAGCTCTCGCGATCTCTCTCGATCTCTTTTCTCGATCTCTTCTCTCGATCTCTTCTCTGCAAGCTCTCGCGATCTCTCTCGATCTCTTTTCTCGATCTCTTCTCTCGATCTCTTCTCTGCAAGCTCTCGCGATCTCTCTCGATCTCTTTTCTCGATCTCTTCTCTCGATCTCTTCTCTGCAAGCTCTCGCGATCTCTCTCGATCTCTTTTCTCGATCTCTTCTCTCGATCTCTTCTCTGCAAGCTCTCGCGATCTCTCTCGATCTCTTTTCTCGATCTCTTCTCTCGATCTCTTCTCTGCAAGCTCTCGCGATCTCTCTCGATCTCTTTTCTCGATCTCTTCTCTCGATCTCTTCTCTGCAAGCTCTCGCGATCTCTCTCGATCTCTTTTCTCGATCTCTTCTCTCGATCTCTTCTCTGCAAGCTCTCGCGATCTCTCTCGATCTCTTTTCTCGATCTCTTCTCTCGATCTCTTCTCTGCAAGCTCTCGCGATCTCTCTCGATCTCTTTTCTCGATCTCTTCTCTCGATCTCTTCTCTGCAAGCTCTCGCGATCTCTCTCGATCTCTTTTCTCGATCTCTTCTCTCGATCTCTTCTCTGCAAGCTCTCGCGATCTCTCTCGATCTCTTTTCTCGATCTCTTCTCTCGATCTCTTCTCTGCAAGCTCTCGCGATCTCTCTCGATCTCTTTTCTCGATCTCTTCTCTCGATCTCTTCTCTGCAAGCTCTCGCGATCTCTCTCGATCTCTTTTCTCGATCTCTTCTCTCGATCTCTTCTCTGCAAGCTCTCGCGATCTCTCTCGATCTCTTTTCTCGATCTCTTCTCTCGATCTCTTCTCTGCAAGCTCTCGCGATCTCTCTCGATCTCTTTTCTCGATCTCTTCTCTCGATCTCTTCTCTGCAAGCTCTCGCGATCTCTCTCGATCTCTTTTCTCGATCTCTTCTCTCGATCTCTTCTCTGCAAGCTCTCGCGATCTCTCTCGATCTCTTTTCTCGATCTCTTCTCTCGATCTCTTCTCTGCAAGCTCTCGC